AAAATGATCATAAGTCATTATTTTCACTGCCATTGTAACTTTGAACAGTCACTAAATGCATGGTTGTAATTTGAGGACTACCTCTACTTCCTCTTAGGTGAGTTTTTCAAGTGGATGTTTATGGTATGATCTGGTAGTTGTATTGTTCCTTTAAAAATAGAATTCCAGCTAGATGAAATGTTTATTTTGTTCCTTTCAGACTATTTAATTGATTTAGGGATTTGCAAAAAAAGGACTATTACAAATTGTTGAAAGCTCTGACTCAGGATGATATAAATCAAATAATTTATCTGAAAATGAAAAGCTGTTTTTAAAAAATGATGCATATATTAAATGTATTGCAAAATAATAAATGCTATATTGCTATTGATAGCTTTGCAAATTATTACAAATTCCAGCAAATCAAAACATCCCCTTCCCTAATTACCTTCCCATGAACTGAAAAACAATCAACTCTGTCAGTGCAGTCATAAAACACATAGCAGGTCAAGAAAAATTGATAAAGCTTAAAAGAAGCTCAAGCACAGACTTTGGGAAGTAAAAGGACTATAAGATAAACCCATAAAAGTAACTCTAGAAACTTTTTTGTAGAATACTGCCCTTGTTCTTTCAATAATTACTTCACTGACCTTACTAAACATGTTATGCTATTAACCAATTTAATGTAAATCTATTTTTGTAATTATTTGTATAATCTAATGAGCAAAATTCTATAAGTATATGGGCTTTATCCCTACAAATGCAGATTTGATTATATTGCCTCTGGTATGATAGTACACAGTCAGTGTTGATCTGATCTCTGCTTATAAACAAACTTTAATGGAAAATACCAAGTTGATGTGTTTTGATTTATCTCCTAAAGAGTACATCATCCAGCATGATGTCATAATGCTAATGATGTGTGAGGTTTTATGTCATTAGAAATGATATCATTGCACAAATAATGGACAGAAAAGAAAGTCCAAGGTTTTGTGGAACAGTTTGCAATAATCCCAATCTGTTGGAAAAATCTTAACATTAAAGAATTGGTTCAAACACTGTCATGTGTATATCGCAAGACATTCGTGCCTATTTTCTATGGCACACTTGGTTGCACAAAGACAACGTGTGGGAGAACTCGGGACTTTTGCTAGCTGCTTTTCCTGCCACTCAGGTTTAGGAAGTGCTTTCTCCTTGATTTCAGAAAAAAAACATTCTTACAGCTGAGTGTTTCATTTCCTGTGCTGACAGGAAACAACTATGCTATACAATTACTGTGATGAATACTGTATAAACAAACAAAATCTGAACTGGACAGGATCAGGTATGTCAGGGATATGAGAATTTACTACAACAAACTATGTTTCGGCAGCCTATGCAGGACATTACAAGGATAATCTTATCCTTTGCAAATGGACCAGTCTCCATCCTCCTAGAGACAAAAGGCATGGGGTATTAACAACAATAGCACTTAGACTTATATACTTCTTCAGTGCTTTACAGCCCTCTCTAAGCAGTTGAGAGTCAGCATATTGTCAACAATCTGGGTCCTCATTTTACCGACCTTGGAAGGATGGAAGGTTGAGTCAATCTTGAACCACTCAGAATCGAATTCCTGAAATGAGCAGTGAGTTAGCCCTGCAGTACTGCCTTCTAACCACTGCACCACGACAGCTCTTAACCCAAAAACATCAATATCAAATGGCAAAATATAATAGCTATACAAAAGATGTGAGGACCAGAATTCAGAACAGAACAGAATTCAACTGAATTTGTATTTCAGAAAAGGTGAATTAAGCAATTAAGGTGACATGATCTGAATAAAAAAAAACCCAGCAAATGTGAACAAAATTTTAGCTTATAGTAGTGTGAAAGCTAATCTACTAACAGCCCTTTGTAGGGATCTATAACATCGAGTGTCAAATGTGGGGGGAGCTGTTTAGAAGTTATGAGAAAGTTTGCAAATGATAAAGCAATTGCTTGACTTTTCCACTAGAGGGCATTTAAAGCATTTGTTTCTTTTTCCTGTGTATCTGCCATGTGATCTTATTTTGCAATAACTTAGCATAATACCAGAATGCAAGGTCAGAAGACATCTTAGAGATCACCTAGATGACTCCCATCCTGAATGCTGCTACTACAATTAGTGTCACTGATAGACATCCAGCCTGTTAAATGATTCCAGAAAGAGTGTATTACCTCACACAGTAGTGAGTTCTAAGGTGAGCAGCTGTTACTTTTAGGACATTTTTCCCAATGCGAGACCAAAATGAATTTCCTTGCATTTAAACCCCATTATTTCTTTACCAGGCTTTAGGGACAATTCTGAATGATTTTGCCCCTCGTTCTACATAACCTTTTATATATCTGAAGGGAACAATCATGAATCTTCTATTTTTCTAACTTCAGGTATTCTTCATAATCTTTCTTCCAGCCCTCTTATCATTTTAATAACTGTCCTCTGGGTTTGCTCTAGCTTATCCTGGGAGGATTTGTCAAATGTTTTACTGAAGTTAATGTTCTATCAAATTCCCATGGTTATCCTTTTTAAAAAAATCAGTTTTACTATGATTTATTCTTAATAGGTCTAGACCGGCTCTTTTCGTTCACTCTCTCCTAACACCAACTGTAATTATGAGAGTCCACCTTTTTCCAGGACATGCATAACTTTTTAATTTCTATCCTGGCTTCTGGTGAGGATTCATGGCAAATATTCCTTAAAGGATGGGAAATTATATTGCAGCAAAAGATCAAATTATATTGCAGCCAGTCAGTGGATTCTGGTGAAATCTCTCCAGAAAAAGGAGGAAATGTAAGAGACTGCAACAACCTAGTCTTTTTGTGGGTCACTTGTCATGGAAAATACTGTTTTGGATTCTTAAATAATAGGACTCTGAAGACTGGACAATTTAAAAGTGGATTTAATGACAAGTGATTTCCAATATGGAAAGAGATGCTACACTGGAATGAAACTAGCTTGTATCTTAATAATTAAAAGAAATATTCAATCTCCTCCAGCAAAGTCTTAATATAAGTTCTTTATCTCTCCCTTCCCACTTATAGCAAAAAAAGAATTTTTAAATCTTTGATTCCAGTATTCAGAAATCTTTAATACCCCCTTGGTTTTATTTTTCAAATTTAATTACCTTCTGTTGCCAAGATGGGTTTTTCCGATTTCCTTCTGCTATTTCCATAGGGAAGGAGAGTGAAAAAAAAAAACTTTCCCTTTAAACTTTCTTCCGCCGCTTTTTTGCAATCTTCTTAGGGAACAATGTATCTTAAAAGAGTTGAATTTCCAGGGTATTTAGGTGTTACTTATTATCCCGGTTCAGCCAAAAACTTTCACTTTCTCCCGCTTCCTCCTGCACAGTCTTGTCCGGGTGAAAGTTTCTTTGTGGCGGCCATTGCTGACCGCCGCTCCACCGCTTTTGGAAAAAGTTGTTCAGCCAGCTGAAGAGAGGGGTTGCGATCCCCCCGAAACCCTGCTGGACCTCCTCTATCTTCAGTCACCTCTATGGGGTGACTATTAACCCCCAAATCCAGCTGGATCGGGGGCACGCCAGCGGCGAGCGCAGCAGGAACCGCGCACGATCGCGGATTCCTGCCGCCGCCGAAGCCTTTCAAACCGGAAGCTCAATCTGTTAAAATTCTGAAGGATTTTGTGAGAAGAAACAAAGAAAAGTATAAAAAGTTCTAAGACATTACTTGACAGGCTTAAAGATAAAGATTGTTAACCGTAAAAGAAATATAAAGTTGATTTATTTGATGGTTAAACTAGATTTATAGTTTAACCATCTTAATAGTCTGTTGCTGACCAAGACTGAATGACAAGACTTTAAGGATATATATATATTTTCTATATTTTTCCAATTTTGGGGGGAAGAGATGCAGTGATGGATAAACATAAGGACATCCATCAGTATACTATTGTTTCTCTCCATTTCTTATTTTTTTATATATTGTTTTCTACATTGCAAATATATTGAACGAAATTTGCTAAACTAAGAACTTTAACTAAAAATAGTATTTGGATACAAGCCAAGAGTTGCAATCAAACTTGAAAATTAAATGTAACCTAGAAAGTTGCAGTAAAGTAGGGAAGCAAATAAATATATTGCAAACTGGAAGAAGCTGCCACTAGAAGTAAATTAACTCCAGTGCTTACGGATATATTTGCACAAAATTGTAGCTGAAGGAAATAATGTTATTCATTACCTGTATACTACTGTTTGTATAGCTATTGTTTTCTTACTAAAGTTAGTAATAAATTTGTTCTTGTATGTATATAAATAGAGATAAATATTTTTATTAGATTGATGAAATGTGGAATTTCACTTTACAGGTCACCTGATGGCTGAAGAATTGGCAAAAGGCTGGTTTAAAATGAATTTAATGGAAGCTGAAGAGATCCTGCTGGAAGATCCTCCTTGTGAATCAGCTTCTCAACTTAAGACGAGGTAGTGTACTTCTTTAAAACACATAGATATAAACGCTTATTTCTTCTGGTTTTATAATATTAAGTGATGGTAACCTGTTAATGAAATATTTTGTTCCTGAATGTCCAATCCCTTTTTCTTATTTGTTGTGGGAAAAGGCTCTTACATTATAGGAAACTGGTTTCACCAAATACATATACATACATATATACATAAACACACACACGCGTATATGTGTGTATGTCTGTGTGTATATATAAAACCTGTTTTTAAGACCTATGATAAGGAAATGATGAAATAGCTATTGCAACATCACAACCAAACCACAGTATGTAAATCACATGGTTTTCTGCTTGAACTGCAAACTTGTACATATATATGTGCCAAATTTTAAGTCTGTTTTAAAAACAATATACATCAGGGTTACATCTTGAACTTAGCATTTGCCGAAAACAGATGTTCCAACATACTTTATTTTGGATTTTAGCAATACTGTTTTGGAATCAAGGCAACTGATTTATTTCTAAATTATAATTATTTTACATTTTTTTCAGATGGTAGGCAGAAAAAAAGTTTATCTATTTGGGAAGTAATAAAAGTAAGCATTTTAATTATTTATTTTCAAATGAATCCATAGAAGAAAATTGTGATTTTAATTTTCTGTAGCTCAAACACCCAGTTCCAAGTCTTCCAATTCTTTTAGAAGGGTAGCCTCTTTTTGAATTTTCTCCATCTACAATATAGGCATAAGACAATCTTACTTAGTACACATAATGAAACATAATATAAAGTATAATCAGTAATTTACAAATGTATCAGATTTAAGATTGCCTGTTTTCCAGATTCTTTCTATGTTCTCCCAGGTATTCAGATATGATAAATGAAGCCTCTATGCTGCCTGAAAACCAATGAAGCTAGTATTTAACTTAACAGATAACAGATAATCAGAGTTGGAAGGGACCTTGTGGGTCATCTAGTCCAGCCCCCCCACCCAAGCAGAAGACCCTACACCATTTCTGACAAATGGCACTCCAATCTCTTCTTGAAAGTCTCAAGTGCCATTAAGTGAACTTAATGTAAGACAATAGAGCTTGTGAAATTGGGAAAGGGAAAGGGACTAACAGTTTCTTTGAAATTTATGTGAAACAGATCGCATAAATAAAATAAGTCCTTTCTTATCAAATACCCAATTTCATTTATAATTATCACAAGTCACTAACACTGGCCTGTTTGCTATCATGCCGGTGACTACCCTGTTTCTCCAACAATACGGCCTCCCCCAATAGGAAGTCCCAGCATGTTTTATAGGCATGAAATGAAATTAAGCCCCTCCCCCCAAATTAAGGCCTATATTAAAACATGCGAAATGGTGGGGGGGGCTTGCTGTTAGGAAGTACTTTTGTTGCACACCCGGATATGGTGCTGCCTGCGTTGACCCTGATACAAAGTGCCCCACCAACGCCGAGGTCAACATCCAAGCCGTCGCCGCCTGCCTGCCCGAAGATGCAAGGGGGGGGGAATTAAGTCACCCCCGAAAAGACGGCCTAGCCATTTTTTCGGGGCTCAAAAAAAAAAAATAAGACCCAGCCTTATTATATGAGAAACACAGTAGAAACTGCTATCTGCTTAAGAAGCAAAAGAAAGTCTTTACAATGAAACTGATTAGAATCTTGTCAGTTAAGAGGCAAAAGCTGCTAGCTGGCTAATTGTTTACAAAGCAAGGCTTTGTAATACATTTTCAGAATTCAGGTGATGTACAAATTATAAACAACTCTGTATCTTAAGAATATGATAAGCATACCTGGTTTTTCTCTAGCTGTTTACCTGCAGCAGCCTGATCTTTTAGCTGTTCAATAGCCTTGAGTTTCTGTAATTCAGAAAACATGGTTAAAAGCAGGGCAGAAACAACAAATTTAATTTTTCTGTGGTGCATGCACATATGTGAAGGATCTTATGTATTTTTTACTGAGCTGAAGGAGAATCCTCCAAGTTACCAATGTTTTTATATTCCTTTCCAATATACACTACACTAAAAAAAGATTTCAATTGGTTTAATGTAAAGCAGATTCTTAAGTTCCTAGAAAATAATATCCAAACTCTTTACCTCTCTTCTTTGGTTGCACAGACATGCATAAGACTTACATATAACATAGAACTCTTTAATTTTGGTTTACTCCCATTTTTGCATCTACAGCATCCAAACTAGTCAAAATGCAGAATTTGGCTAGCACATTTTTTGCAGTTTGGGGACAACATGGAATTTTTATAAGGCTTATACCAAGTTTGGCCCTCGGCACTATCTCAATTCAAAATATCCAGGCCTGTGAGTTTAGTCCTACCCAAACCAGTAACTTTACTGCACCACAGCTATACCCTTATGGCTCTGAGAAGGTAAGACAGATAAAAATGATGACAATAATAGCAAAAGTACACTTCCTGTTTCCCAGGCCAAAAAAGGGCTGGATCTCCTAGCTTAGTATGCTTTGTGAATTAAATTGCTGCAGTTTGTAAACCAGCGAATCTACAGGAATGGAAGGAGTTCAAAAAATTCAAGATGGCAATCATAATGACAATTCTGGAGGCCACCTTTTTGATGCTGAATACTTGGAAGTCTTTGGATGCTGTACGCAAATTTTCAGAGGCCACATGTGGTCCTAGGGCCTCATATAATGTACCTTGGACATGTAGCTCCAGCTGTCACAATAGTAAGAAAAAGTAAAACAAAGATCACTAATACTATTGTTCAACAAAAGGAAATGGGGAAAGATTCTATCAATAGCTTTTGTTAGGAAAAAACTTCTTACCTTTTTAAGATTTTTTATCTTTTTCTCCAACTCAGGATCTCCTGATATTTCAGAGGATATTGTATTGCTCGATTCATTTTGTATTGGAGGAGATGGAGTGATTTCCTGGTCCCCTTTAGCTCTCGCCTCCTTTAATGAAATGTATCATTAGTTAAGATGACTTTTAAATGAAACCATTCTAGGCACTAATTTTATTATTAAGACGTTTTGAGTTCTCTGGAATTTTTAAGTTTGGCTTATGTGATAGTGAAAGAGAGGACACTTCGATCTTAATACAAAATTCTGTGCAGAATCCTACTAAACAATGGTTTACCAAATACTATCGGTTCAAGTGCAATGAATCATGATTAAGAAAAAAATAAATAAAAACAGCTATACCTGTTTAGCCACCTTCTTGGCTTCATGCTTCTTTTGATTTTTAAGTGCTGTTTTAGATAATGGCTTATCACCACTTTTTGACTGTGTTCTCATGTTCTGGGGTGGCTCATCCTCATGCTGAGGGAGATCAACACAAAAATAATTGATGTATAAATAACAGCTATAATTAACTGGTGCAGAGGCATAGAAGATATAGCGGGTATCTTTTTACACTCTTCCATGAATGGTTACTTACCAGTTTAGAACTAGTTACAGGTTTATTTCTGAGAGCTGGAGGTCTATAGGTTGGGGCAGCCTTTGGTTCCTCATTTAACATTTTGCTTGGAACAGCATGGTATGTTATTGGCTTTGCTGTAAATACTCCATCCAAAAAGGGCTGCCAAGTAACTTGCCAAAGTTCTGCATTTGGCTGAACTTTGTATATGTATAAGACAGAGCCAGTATAATGCCAGATCTTGAATCCATTCCCAACTCGTAGTCTTGGAGAACATGTAGCTGTTACTATATGCTCTCCATCAGGGCACCAGGCAAAGTATGTAGAATCAGAGGCTTGTGGTTTGGAAATAAGTTTGTAGTTTTTAATATCCCATACATCAAGTTGTCCACTAAGATTCCCAAATCCAGCTAATACTAAGATATGTCCTTGAGGACTGTAGTAGACAGCATTGTGGGGACCAGTCCCAAAGTCAAACACAGGATCACATTTTAGATTGAAGACAGTAGATTTAGCAGGCATGAAACCATACACAACGCAGAACTCCGTGGCATTGGGATTCCAGGCTGCATCATAAATTGGACCATTTTTTGCTGTACAGAAAAAAAAACAGCTGAAATTGTAAAACAATATCTAAGTTGTTGAGAGACAAGTAAAATAAAAAACTTAAACCTAACACAAATTACAGTTTACATTTTTTCAATGAAATCATAAATACTCCTAAATTTTGGTAATAAATGTTAGTTAAAAGCCAAATTGGAAGGAAGAATATAGTCTATATTTCCTGTAGGACCAAAAAAGTTAAATATAAGGTCCTAGGGCAAGACAGGCTAGTTTTCTCATTTAGCAAATTGAAAATGGTTTTCTGACCAACTTGAACTGTTTTAAGAAATGCTAAGCTCCTGATCTGTGACTTTAAATAAACTCAAAATTAAATTATACACAGTTGTATCTGTAAACTGTTGAGAATCTACAGACCACAATATGTTTATTTAAGATTGTTTTTAAAATAGCGCTAGCCTGCATGAGACTATAAATGTTTCTTTGCAAGTAAGGTTAGCTAAAGCTCCCGTTTTCTGTTCAGAATTAGTAACTGTGAGCAACCTGGCCAGTGACTGGAAAAATACCTGTCTTCATCAGCCAAAATATTGCCCAAGTCCCTTGCACACATTATCAGTAATAAAAGATTACTGAACAAGGGTTACTGTAACCATTTTTAATACAATTACATTCATTCTCTACTTTTTAATAGATTGAAAAAACCTCAGTAGGTTTAATAATAAGGAAAGTTGCAGAACTCAATCACCTACAATTTTGCAATTTGTCAGTCCTGTATGTAATTGGAACCCCTTCCATGTGGTTATTTTCTTTTAAATTTGGTTATTACATAATCATGATGAACACAACAACTCAAGGTCTAAAATCTAGTTTCATTAAATGTAATCATAAGGAATAAAAGTAATTAAGCAGTTTTTAAAGAGAGTAGTCCTTAAAATTGGTTGGCAGTCCCAGAGTCTCTTTCTAGCGTAATAGTCTAGAAAGAAACTTCTCATATAGAGTTGGTCTCTCTGTCCCATAAACATCTTTTTTATACAATGGAAACTTTCACTTTAAATCTTATACGCTTCACTCCATTTCAATCAGTAAGTACTGGTTGGTTATAAGATCTAAATATGGCTCTTTAAAGGGGATCTTCAAATTCTCATGGGATTCTCTTTCCATCATGTGTTTAAATGCTTTAAAACGTAATATAAATACTACTACAGCCACTTACGTAGTTGTACGACAGCTGTTTCTCCATTGGTTGCTATGTAATGTAGAGTTTGTTCTCCATAATAAGATGCTCCTGTTTTATCAACTTCTGTACTAGCTATTACTAGCATTGCAGTGGCTATTCAGATGAGGAAAAAGAAGATATTTTTAAAAATAAACTACACTGTAAAATATAACAAATAATAAACATAGCTAGATGCACTCTTGCAGTCTGAAGAGCAATATGATTTTAAAAAACTAGCTTCGGATAAAGGAGACCATTTTAACTTTCTTCTAAATCATAATTTGCAGCTGATGCTCTCTGACTGTTGGGCTACAGTTTCCAGGGAATGTAATGGCCGGAAATTATGAAAATAGTTATTTAACATAAAGCCAAAGGCTCCAAGTTAGGAAAAGGTGCTTTGGTTTCTCCTCCAAAGTCTGCACAATTTGAACATTCAGAAATATTTCTCAGTGTATTCTGAAGAGTTAACTTTCAAATAAGCGTACAAGGGATCACTGTATGTTAGAGTTTTACAGAATGGGTTTTACTAGCATAATAGCAAGTATAAATGTCCTTTGAGCATTTTGATTATTCAAGACTATATGCTGACTACTTATAGAAAAAGAAAAGTAGACTCAAATAAAGACAAAGCTTTTTCTAAAAAAAATACCTTTACTATTCCACAGCATTTTCACCCTATCAGCTTTAAAGAAGCTTTTGTTTGCCAATGCAGATTGTGAGCCTTCAAAGTTAGGATATTGGTAAAGCCTTACAAAAGATGGGGCTCCTTTGGTTCCAGGAACATAAACAGCAACCTGCATTAACAAGATGTGAAATATCTGTTAAATAAACATTAAAAGTAGGTATGTTTTAAAATCTGGATGAAATTAAAATTGTGCTGGGAAAAGAATTCAAAAAGAAAGCACCTTGGTTGGCTGATCTCCTGGCGACAACACAAAATCACTGATTTTCTGCAGATGAAGCTTATTTGCAATCGTACCTGCAAAGGTCACCATCAAGTTAAAGTTGTTTATTACAATTTTTTTGTGAATTGTTAGGTAGCATTGCCTATGGGTTTCAGCAAATAATAAGTAAATAAACAATTGTAAAATATATTGTATACATGGCACATTTACTACTTTAAAAGATTTTACATGAATATAAGTATGAGAAAAATAACTGACTATAAATTTTATCTCAAACAGATTGAATTTAATGTAAATCTTGTAATATAAAAATATTTTAAAGCTTAAAATGGCTGCATTTCAGGTAAAACACCATCACATACAGCAAAAGGTTTAGAGGTAAATAAAAAGATAGAAGTAAAATTTCATATTACAGATAGCCCACGACTTACAATAGTTCGTTTTGTGAGCGTTCTAAGTTACAACAGCAGTGAAAAAAGTGACTTATGACCATTTTGCATACTTATGACTGTTAAAGCATCCCCTGGACACACGATCAAAATTCAGATGCTTGGCAAGTAACCAGTGATATTTATGACAATTGCAGTCATAAGGTCATGTGATCATCTTTTGCAAGCAAAGTCAACATGGAAGCCAGTTTCACTTATCAACTACAGAATTCACTTAACAACTGTGGCAAGAAAGGTAGTAAAATGGGGAAAACTCACTTAAGTGTCTCAGGAACAGAGATTTTTGGCTCAATTAAGTTTCGTAAGTCGAGGACTACCTACCTATACATAACTGAACTTCAAAACTGTATTAAAGACTAAAGGTGGGAACTGCAGTAAAGCAAGCAGCTGAAAACATAAGAATATCATGAAAAGATTAAACATTGAATGTTTATCTAGAGAACAAGAAAGAACGTGCATACCGAAGTCGTTGTTTTCAAAGAAATGTAGTTCATTGTTAACACTCCTGGCACACAGGCTTTCGTCATCTGACCAGCAAGGACACCTAATGATTATAGAGTGTGGTGGAGTAGAATAAATATTAAAACCAACACCTGGTACTTGTGGCCTTCAGAAAAAGTATTTTTAACAATATTTTTAAAAAGATTTTTAAAAAAATTAACATTAAATGTAATATATTTAAGTTGTAAATGTGAAAGGCAAATTCATAGATTCTAATAATTACTTATTATATTTTCAAATATTCCCATGAATATGTTATTTTCTGAAACAAGTTACATTTAAAATTAAAAACAAATTCAACACTTATAGAATTCTTACTTTTTTACCACAGGATCCATCTTTATCTTTTCTGTACAATGAAGTGGTATGTTATGTCATTTCCATGTGTGTTGCTGTAATTGCTCAGACACATGCACTTGGAAGCACAGGGCAGGATGCATACATTCTCTTCTGGGTCATGTGACCAGGAGGGATAGGTATTCAGAATGAAGCTGGTAGAAACTTTTGAGTAGCTGCCCATACGCATACTGTGGGACAATATATTTAGAATTTTTGTCTCCCCAACCCACAGACCGTTTTCCAACTCAATTTTGCTTTTGCTGGCTTCTCTTGCAGACCAAATTTGGCCTTCTTGTGTTCAGTTTTGTAGAGTTACTGTGTTGAGAGCTAGATATAAGTAACTTTCTGCAGTTGAAAAACTTATTAGAGAATTACCGTGTTTCTCACATAATAAGGC